CAGGCTCCTATAAAGCCTCTGGAGCCTGGGGAGGGCAAAAAATGGCTTTTAAAAAGGGTAAACTCAGCTGGCCAGCTAACAGGGCAGCGCCTTGCGTACCCTGACAAATGGCTCCGCGTGGCACCTGTGGCACGCGTGCCATAGGTTCGCCATCCCGGGCCTATTCTATAAAACAGTTACTGTACTTATTTTTAAACAAGATTTTGCAACCACTTGAGGATGCTTATTTTATTCATTGCTTAGTAATTGACACATACAGAATTTATTCGTATTCTGTCAAAATACAGGTGGTGCTAGTTTTAGCACTGAAAAAGCATTTTTCTAAAACAATTATGAAATTCATGGTATAATGATGATATGTTTTAGTACTGATCTTCAATATACTTTGAGCATTTATTAGGTGGCAGAACTATATACATTTTAAATATAAAACAGCAAAGTTGTAAGTTATTAGATAATGAGCGATCAGAAAGATTGGGTATTTGTAACTAAAATTAAACTGACAACTGTCTTTTATTGCATAAAAGTTTAATATTATTATTTCCAGATTTTAGAGTTGGGGCTTAATTGTTTCACTCACGTCACTATATCTGTGGGAGTTTACCTGATGGACTTGATTTGTTAGTGATCTCTACAAAATATCATTTTGAAGTTACATTACAGTGGGATTTGCTGTTTAAAGAAAGTTAAAATCTCTGAGACCCACAATAATGTTTGAATAACATTATTTTTGATAATAAGAGGTATCATTTTGAAATAGAAATATTAAAAAGACAACACTGAAAACTGCATGATCAGAAGACAGATGGAGTTGAGCATATCTAAATTTGTCTAGTGTTTCTATGGAAAGTGGTTTAGTTTGAGGTTGGTTTTAAAAGAAAGTGGATGTAAATACAATAAATAACATCAAGGCATACAAAACAACAATTTTTATTGAATTACAATTGCAACCTGGTCTTGCAGGTGAATCTGATTTAGGAATATTGCCTTAGCAAAGCATCATTGTTAAACTGCATGTGATATAAATAGATTTCCATGTTGCAACTTTTTTTTTTTAAACTTTGTATTATTATTAGAACAGTTACAATCTCTCAGGACCTGCTACATCTCAACATTGTGATAAAAGTCTTTATGTATTTTTTTATTGATTTAACATGTATGTATTCTCTCTGTTCAGACTGTGACAAAGGAGAGACAGATGAAGTTACTACAACAACAGAATGATATCAGTGGTTTATCAAGGCAAGTGAAGCATGTGATGAACTTCACTAATTGGGCCATTGCAAGTGGCAGCAGCACTGCATTGCTTTATAGCAAGCGACTGGTAAGAAAAATCAGATTTTATAGTTGCTGTTTGGCTATAAATTATATTCTTGCAATAAAACAACAATCTTTATTATGGAAATCTGTGTTCTTCTTATTCTATAAGTCCTGAAGGTAAGTACCTCTAATGAATTTTTTTTTTTAAAAAAAAAACAATACTTTGTATTTCAATTGTTGATATATTTGGTTCATCAAAGCCAAGCTGTAAAATCATCCAGGATGTTAGAGGTTTTAAATGCTGAAATGGGATGATATTCTCTTTCTAGCAATTATGTTTTCTATCTGTAACCTATTTCCAAAGCAATTCAAATATTAATATCACCAGCCTCAAAGGTTGACTTAGCCTTCCATCCTTCTGTGATCGGTAAAATGAAGACTGAAATTGTTGGGGACAATATGCTGACTCTAAACCGCTTAGAGAAGGCTGTAAAGCACTGTGAAATGGTGTATAAGTCTAAGTGCTAATACGCCGGATTATTAATACAGGGTAGCTATACTGTATATTGGTCAGATGATATATTTTATTTTAATATTTATTTTGTAGTGGAACTTTTAGTAAAGAAACTGATAAAAACTAATATACATAAAATGTCAGTATCAGTTGTTTTCAGAACAGAGGAAAAAATCTTGTTAGTTAACAACAACTATACACACTCGCACAATCAATTTTCTTTCTCTTCACTATCTGAATTAGATTTGAAGGTGCATAGAGAGCAACAGAACGGAGAGAAGTTTATCAGTATCTCCTGCTAGAAAGATATGTCTGTGAATCTAGAATGTGAGGGGTTCTTGGTGCTCTCTAAACTTGTTGTGGCCCACCAGCGGCCAGCAAAGCTGGCAGCAGAGTTGGACAGTGAGGAGGTTGGGGAGGAATGAGGCAGCGAGGCAGAAGAACAGCAGCAGCCTGTTCCCAGTGTGTGCATGCGCAGAGCTGCCAGAAGGCAAGAACAATTAAGAAAAAAAGGGTTGACTCAGGAGTAAGACTTGGAGATAATTGGCCCCTCCCATAAGACATAAAAGAAGAGTGAATGGGACGTGAGCTTTTGCAGGAGCAATTAGTTCATTTGGTCGATTCAAGCTTTGAAAGGTTCTGTTTGACTCTGTGCTAAATTAGGCCTTGCTCTGCATTTGGCAATTAGGTCTCTGGCAGCACTCCAAGGGAGATAAGGTGGGTGCTTATCAACATTCCCCTGAAAGACTGTGGCAACTCAAGCAGACATAGGTCAGAATCTTCACAGACTGTTTGTGAAGCCGTGTGGACTGTGAATGACCATAATTCATAGCCGTATAAATAAAAGAGGGTTTTTGGGGACTAAGATTGTGATTTATGCTTTCTCGGGAAGTCGAGGTCAGAACAGTTGTCTTGCAGAGTTTCATTATCGAAATTAGGCAACATTATTATGAGCGCTAGCCCTGATGATGTTACCTAGTCTGGGTAATGAACCATTCGCAAGAAAATAACCAAGCTCAGAAATCACCAAGGACCCCTCATGTCAACCCTGAACTACAGATATTCTCCTTTATTAATCTAGAATGTGTTGGTATTTTGATTGAAGATTCTGCTCAATGATATGTGCAGGATGATGGTTTACAAGGTATTCTTAGAGATCCTAGTTTGCAGAGTGTATGTTAAAATAATTGGAGTAAAATTGAATCTTGATTAAGCTTGTGGCTCCCTAGCCAAAATGAGCCCATGTGACTGGTATTAAGAAATGTTGCATGTAGAATAGATAAATTTAGTTTAACTTACAATATAGATACGAAAACTGATTTTTTTCAATGTCACTTGTTTGCAAATAACTTACTTTTAATTTCTTTTTTATGCTTTGCATAACAGTAATGTGAGATTATTTGCTTTGCAGATCACTTTCCAGCTGCGACATATTTTAAAAGCACGATGTGATCCTGTTCCAGCTGCTAATGGAGCAATTCGCTTCCATTGTGATCCTACATTTTGGGCAAAGAACGTAGTCAACCTAGGTAGAGCATTTTATATTTCTGACAGATTTAATGTGTAAAAATCTGTTAAGTATAAATGGCGTGTTCTTTATAGTGTTCCTTATAGGTGTAAGAGACTTCCAGTAAAATAAGGTTTGTTACTGGAGCTGTTTGTATGGGGACCAATAGGCCTCCTTTGAGATTGAAGCTCTCCTCCAGGAGAATGTTCAGAAGTTTTGTGCATCATGACAGTTGATGTACACATGATGAAGTGTAACTGGATTACACTGTAGGCATGGATTTAAACTAGCGATACAAATGCAATCACATTTTTTCCCCCTACCCTGTTTGCTTGCCTTTTTTCATGCATTTCTTGTCACAAGAATACTTTCCTTTAGAATAAATATTAGTTCATATGGTAATTGACCATCTTAATAATAGGTAGCAATGTTTTTCACAGAAAGGCACTGTGAAGTGAGATATATAGTAGTATCAAGGGGCATGACAATCGTAGAGGAAGAGAGTGTTATTTGAAAAAAATAATTACGGAGGTATGGGGTACTATATAATTATATGGTCACTCTCTTCTACTTCTAAAAATATTTAAAAGACAAGTCTTTAATTATAGGAAAGTAATTTGGATTCAATTCATTTTAATTTCTAGCATATCAATTATTGTTGGGAAACAGACACGTTAACAGATGCGGCCACATACAAATGTATCAAAAATAAGTATAAGAATAATCTTTATTGTCATTGTACTTAAATACAACAAAATTGGTTCTTGAATGAAAAAAATGTTCATTTTCTAAAAAAATAATCAAAAATCAGATTCAAAATAACTCCAAACTATTTTCCTTGGCACAGGCAAAAACTTCATTTTTCTTTTTGTTTTCCCTTCCACCAAACAAGATATAAAATGCAAGGTTTACAGGAGCAGATGCTCTCCCTTTCAAAAAAAATTTTTTTTAATTGTTCCTTTCTTTGCAACCTTTGTTTTTGCAATATAAACTCTGAAGTAATGGGGTGGAGACTTTTAAAGGTAAAATTCTTTCAACAAATTGTTGGTTGAGCCGAAAGTATGAGGCTGTTGGCATAAAGGCATTGTAGTTTCTAGTGAAAAGAAAAGTCCAGGCGAAATCAGACATGCCTTCTATTATAGCCCTTGCATCCCATTGAGATCACATTTAGATTTAATAAGCAAGAACTAACAGTCAACTTCTAAATTACAAACAGCCTTGTGGGTATGTACAAAGGCCTACATGTCCACACCAGGTTTTTCCCATGTTCTTCTCCACCAGCAGCACCTCTTACTCTGTTGGAGGCCACTTTTGAGGTTCCCAAACTTCAGGGTAGTGTGAGAGGATGCTTCTGGAAAGGGGGAGATACCCAAACTCCCTGTAACATGTGCAGAGTTCATCATATGGTCCTTTGGAATGGGAAAATACATTGGGAACTGAAAAGGTATTGGAAATGAAATATATAAAACTGTTTGAAAAGATCCTAGAGGTGCAGAAATGTTTAAACTGTATTTTATTTTATTGACATAAATATTTAATATTTATTGACATAAATATTAATTTTTGATAAATACATGTGACAACAATACAATGCCTGGGTTATTTTAAAACGGAGCTGACATTGTATACCATTGTCAGATTTTTAAACAATATATTTTTACAGAAGGAACAGAATCTTCCATTCTGTTAATTGGTAGTACAGACCAAGAATAGAGTATTATAAAAAAAGAATTATGGCCACTGTTCTAGAGAAAATAATATTTCTTATTTTATACAAGAACAAGCTAGTACTTATTAGGGCTGTGTAATGCATCAGATTTAGCTTCTACTGTAAGGAACAGCTAGGCAATCCTGGGAAAGATGCAGCTGCTGTAAAGACATGCAAGGAAGGATATATTTGTAATCAAATTGAAATATTGAGCCATAAATTAAAATGTATCAGAACAACAAGAATAAGAGAAAGTGGTTCATCAAACTATATTCAAAATAGGGGTTTTAAATATTGAATAATCCTGAGAATAACTCAGAGACCATACGTTATGGCAGTGACTACAAGCATTAATGAAATTGTAATTAAAATTATATCCATATTTTTCTTTTTAATTTTTTCAATAATAAATATCTTTAAGGACTTAAGTGAAAAAAAATCTAATGTACATGTTGTACAAGAGTTAAAACATTTTCCTCAGCTATGCATCAAAGTTTATGGAAAATCACATGTATATTGAAACTAGGCACTAATTTTTTAAGGAAATTGTTCCATTAACCCTAGTTTGATCAAAGTAAATGCAGATACATTAAAATCCACATCTTATACATTCATTAATTAAAAATATGACTTTGAATCCTTTAAAATAAAAAATACAGAGTCCTTTTTGCTCTCTGAGCTTGGTTGTTTGCTTGTAGACATTTCATTAATCAACCTTGATAATGTTACTTAGTTGGGTAATGAAATACCTGAAAGCAAATAGCCAGGTTCAGAAAGCATAGTTCAACTCCAAGCTACATGTATTATATTCTATTGAAAAAATGCACTAGTTTTGTATTTTTAAAGCTTCATCCCCTAATGTGAAGCTAATGTATACTAATCACAAACATTTCACTATTAAACTTACTTAAAGTACAAGCGTTGTAGTTAATCATGTTTTCTCCCATTGTCTAGGTAATCTTGTTATTGAAAATAAGCCAACACAAGGTTACACTCCTAATGTAGTAGTGGGACAAGTTCCTCCAGGTACAAATCATATCAACAAACCTCCAGGGCAAATTAATCTTGCACAGCTTCGGCTCCAGCACATGCAGCAGCAGGTGTTTGCGCAACAAAAACACCAGCAGTTACAGCAGATGAGGATGGGGCAGCCTGCAGGGCAAATCGCACGCCAGGCAGGTCCACAGATGCTTCAGCAACAGGCAAGTCTTCAGACTCTTTAAATTAAGATACTCATATAAACTCAAAAGATCATTTTCAGGCATAGAATTTACATACATTTAAAGTATATATAGGGCTGCATTTTGTTAATTCTAATATCAGTGCAATGAAGTTTGTTCCCTTATGAAGAAGAGGAAAAACATGGGAAAAGTGGCTAGTGTTTTTCCTCATTTACAGAGCGAGAGTTTTATAAAATTCATTATATTTTGTAGCCTCCACGGTTGATAAGTATGCAGACCATGCAGAGGAGTATGAATTGCGGTGCTTTCCAAGCTCATCAGATGAGAATGGCTCAGAATGCAGCTCGTCACCCAGGGATACCACGCCACAACGGGCCCCAGTATTCTATGATGCAGCCACACTTACAGAGACAAGTATATGCTGTGTGCACATTTTGTTTCCCGCCTTTCATTTTAGAAAAGTGAATCAGTTTTTTTTTAAAAGTATCAGTATAATTTAGTTATGGAAATGCTTTCAAAATTAAACAGATCATTTCTGTTCTTGCTATTTAAGGAAACAGATTCAAGTTTTATTATAAGAAATCTGAAATTAGACCCAAACATAGTTTTCAAACATAAGTCATGAAATATTCACGGTTATTAGTTTGCCACAATTTTTTATTGCTTTGATTGTTGACTCTTACAGATTTATTGATCAGAGCTTGTTCTCTGATCAAGGAAAATTTGTGTCTATAAACATCAGCATTAAGTTATGAATGAGAAAATGTTGTTATTATTTTGACTTATTAAAAGTAACAGGTGAAAAATGAATATTGCCCTTCTGGGTAACTAACTTAATAATAATTTCTATTTTTTTTCCTCTCCCCTCTTTTTAGCATTCAAATCCAGGACATGCAGGTCCCTTCCCAGTTGTTTCAGTACATAACAATACTATCAATCCAACAAGTCCTACAACAGCCACCATGGCAAATGCTAATCGTGGTCCAACAAGCCCATCTGTAGCAGCAATAGAGCTTATTCCATCTGTAACTAACCCAGAAAATCTACCTTCCTTGCCAGATATTCCTCCCATACAGGTAATAATATTATATCAAAAAAGAATGAAAGTTAATTGTTACTGAAATTAACATTTAACAGCTTACATTGGAGTAAAATGGTTTACAATTTGTATAAGAAAAATAAAATCCAATCTGTAGGATGTCTTTATTAGAATGTCTCTTTTTGCACTGGAGACTGTAAGAATGGCAAGATTTTTGTTTAAGTCTTCACTCAATCTTGAAATTTATTGCACAAATTAAACAGTCCAAGGTTAATATTTCTCGTGATCAAAGATGTGTACAGAAGATTTTGTGTGTGTGTATGTGTGTGTGCGCGCGTAAAAAAAAGTCAAAATGGCAAATGCAAATGCTGCTCAGAGTCAGCTTGTAGGGAAATGGTTGGCATACAAATTTAATAAACAAATAAATAAAATAAGCTATGTGTTCTCTATATTTTGATGATTTGGCTTTTTGATCACTTTGGTATAAATGATTTTAAAATGTACCCAGTCTTTTGCCACTGATTTACATCCCCCCCCCCCATAACCTCCTAAGGCACAGCCTTAAAGATGCCTCCAGAATGTGAATGCACATCTGCTTGCACAGCACTCTTAGTTGCTCCATTAATTTTGGATTGAAAGTGACTACTGTGCTGTTTCCTGAATATTTTAAAAGAGAGACTTGATTGGAAAATACATATTTGTAAATTATTTCTATTTGTCAATTGTGCTAATTTGTTCTGGGAGGAGGGGAAACATTATAATTTCTTTTTTAACAGCTTGGAAATAATATGGTTCTTTTGTCTGCTATAACATTTATCTGGCCTCCCCGTGTAATTATCATTTAAAGGTACAGATTGACCGAATGTCTCTGTAAAATTTACAACCTACTAATGGGTGTGAGATTGTTTCAATTTTCTTGTCCTTACATGGATAAATACACTCAGCTATAGAAATTTTTTTATATCTGCCTTGAAGTGCAGATGGAAGAATGTTAAATCTAGCTTTAAAGAATGTGAAAAAAGAATGATTCTCAGCTTAGGGGAAAATAGATTTAACAAATAAATTGCTGGTTGCCATATAATTCAAATTCTGGCATGTTGTAAAAAAGCCTGTTAACTTAAATCTGGAACTTGGCATCTCTTATTTTTTAATAGTTAATTATAACCCAATGGTTTTAAGAATAGTGGAAAGAGGCTATATGAAGTCACCCTATGTTCTACTGCCTGTTTCCAGATCATTGTCCTAGCATATTGTTGGCTTTAGATTTTCTTTAATATCCTTCAGAAAAAAATATAGATAGTTTCAAGAGGTCATTTCTAGCATACTACATTTAGACTTGGCAAATTCACTGTATGAGTGGTTTTTTTTAAATTTCAGCTAGAAGATGCTGGTTCCAGTAACTTAGATAATTTACTAAGTAGATATATCGCAGGTAGCCATCTACCTCCTCAACCCATAAGCAGTATGAATCCCTCTCCTGGACCCTCAGCACTATCTCCGGGCTCATCAGGTAAGCTGAGAAAGACATCACAATAGACATTTTAATTTTTGTATATAAAACAACCAATAGTTATTTTGAAATTTTACTCAGCTTTTTCTAGTAACTTGCACAGCAAAGAGGCTGAATGTTTTTTGCTTCAATGTATGGACTTTTTATATTACGACTGTTTAGTTAAATGTAATCAAAGTAGGTTTTTTCCATGAGTAGGCAGTCCCCCCCCCCTTCATCTAATATCACATATATGAAAAGACAAAAGTAATTTTGTAACTTCGTTTTCAAGAGAATGAAGCTGAATTAGATTTAGAAGGCTATAGGGTTTGAATGCTGGAAAGCTTCATAATAGCTGGGATTTAAAAATGTAACACTGTTTAGTATGAACTGTTGAAACTGTGCATTGCCAGAAATGTTCCCTGTGATATGCTATTATAATAAACTCATCCTTCCTTCCTTAGGTTTATCCAATTCTCATACTCCTGTGAGGCCACCCAGTACATCCAGCACAGGGAGTAGAGGCAGGTGAGTTAATTGACTTCAAAAACAGGACCTCCATTTTAAATGTATGTTGAAGTTTCCAGAGAATTGAGTACGTAACTAGGAACATAAATTCCAGTTTAAGACAAAGGTTTGCTGTTATTAATTGCAAAGTCATGTCTGACCCATCGCGACCCCATAGTAAATGTTCCTCCAGGCCTTCCTGTCCTCTACCATCCTCTGGAGTCCATTTAAGCTCACACTAACTACTTCAGTGACTCCATCCAGCCACCTCATTCTCCATCGTCCCCTCCTTCTTTTACCTTCAATGCTTCCCAGCATTAGGCTCTTCTCCAGTGAGTCCTTCCTTCTCATTAGGTGGCCAAAGTATTTGAATTTCATCTTCAGGATCTGATCTTCTAAAGAGCAGGAACTGGGAAAATCATAGCCTTCACTATACACACTTTTGTTGGCATAGTGGGGCTGTACAATTTATCTATGAATTAAAAGACATAGAAGACATAACTATACATTATTTTTAATTTCTGCGTTGTATAAGAAGTAACATCATTCTCTAATGTTTTTACTGTGCTCATTTGCAAATTGAATATATATTCATAATGGAAGAGAGAACCCTGAAAATAGGGTTGTTGCCTTTTCTCTAGCACGCAGAACTAAAATAAAAAGGTTTGCCACAGTTCTTTGAATGAGAAGAGGTCTCTTCCCTTTCATTTACATTTCCACTTAACTTCATGTGCCAGCTGTGTCTCTTCCCCTTGCATACATGTATAAACACCTCCCTCTCCCAACAGAAACACAAAAAGGAATCGGGTAAAGAGATGGAGATGAGTTAAGAGGAATTGAATAGGAAAGGAAATAAGAAATGGAAGAAGGGGAAAAAGTGGATAGAGTTGAGGTGAAGGGAACAGGTAATTGAATAGAGACAGGAAGGAAAGGAGAGAAAATATATGCTCTATTTAGATGTCACAGAAATAATTACCATATTTTTTGGAGTAAAAGATGCACTGGAGTATAAGACGCACCAAGGTTTTGAAGAGGCAATATTTTTTTAAAAGTAGGTAGGTAGAGGGATAGAGAGAGAGAAATACAGTAGGTGAGTAGGGAGAGAGAGAGGGGCTAGGTAGGTAGGTAGAGGGAGAGAGAGAGAAATACAGTAGGTAGGGAGAGAGAGAGAGTAGGTAGGTAGATAGAGGGGGAGAGGGAGGGAGGGAGAGAGAGAGAGAGAGAGAGAGACCTGATTTATCAAGAACTAAAAGAGCAAGATAAAATAAGATATATACAGTTTCTAAATTGGAAACTAGCACAATACTGTACGTGACATTATATTGTATTTGTACTGTGGAAAAAATGCTTAGGGTCCCTCAGGGTTTTGATGCCTTCATAAAGAAGAGCTAAACAACTTTTTGAAATAAATCTGACTTTAAAACACAAAACAAATGGAAAGAATGATTCAGTGATATAATTTATTTTTGAAAATTTATGTTGCTAAAATAAACATTTAAAGTTATTTGCAGGAAAAAAAATGAAAATAAACTTTACTATTCCAGGCAGAATGTTTAAGTGGGGAGTTTTTTTCTCAATAGTTGTTTTAGATGTCATTTTTAGGATTCTACAAGCCTGATTTCATATTAAGTAGACACCATGCTTTCATACATTAAAAAAATGAAAATATATACAAGTATATTAAAAATGAAGAATTTAACAAATAAAAATATTAATTGCAGAGTTACTTCTGTTGATCTTATTATTGAATAATTATGTTCCTGACATACTTTTTGGAGGAAGGATTTTAATAGGTTTGGGGATGTTTATTTCTCAGAATTTTTATCAGAGGGATGTTTAATTTGCATAACTTGTATACTTTTCAGTTGTGGCTCATCAGGCAGAACCGTTGAGAAGAACAATATTAGCTTTAAATCTGACCATGTAAAAGTTAAACAAGAACCTGGCACAGAGGAAGAGGTGTGCGGTTTTTCAGGACCTGTGAAGCAAGAAAAAACAGAAGATGGCAGGAGAAGTGCCTGCATGGTAAGATTCTATTTCTGTGTTACACTATTTTGACACAGGATTTCTAAGCAGTGAGGAGAATTGAAGACATTAATTATTTTCTACAGAGTAGCTGTTATTTCCATAGAGGTTACTATAGTGCTAGAAATATTTAACAATTCTATTTTAGTACCATGTTTTGTTTTCCTTGAGCCTGTCCTTGACCAAGTTGCTTTGGTTCATAAATCAAACTAAGAGAAAAGAGCAAGCTCAGGTGCTTGGCTCAGTATTAGCCAACTATTGTTAATTTAATAAACCATGGTTAAACCTTGGCAGCATGATGCATATCTTAGAATATTGAACTGGATCTATATCTATTCATTTATTCAATCAAGCTCAGAGAGCACTAAGGACCTCTCATTTCAACCCTGAGCTATAAATATTCTCCTTTATTGGTACTCATGTTTAGAATAGCTTATTAAAATAAATGAGGTGGGGGAAGGGCACACCCAAGGGAAAGTTTCTTAGTCTTTACACTTGTGCCTTTATTTTAGCTTAGCAGTCCTGAAAGCAGTTTGACGCCACCACTTTCTACAAGCTTACATCTGGAAAGTGAGTTAGAAGCACTGGGAAGTATAGACAACCATGTAAAAACTGAACCAACAGAATTGAATGAAAGCTGTAAACAGTCTGGACATGGTCTTGTAAATGGCAAATCTCCAGTACGTAGCCTCATGCACCGATCTGCCAGGGCTGGAGGAGAAGGCAACAATAAAGATGATGATCCGAATGAAGACTGGTGTGCTGTGTGCCAAAATGGGGGAGACCTTTTATGTTGTGAAAAGTGTCCTAAAGTTTTCCATCTGACATGTCATGTACCTACTCTCCTCAGCTTTCCAAGGTATGAAAATATTATTATGTTACATCCCGTAAGAGTTTGGTGTGATCATTTGTACTAAGATATAATATTGAATATTAAAAATATAATATTGAGGTGGTGATGTTCCCTCTGCAGGTTGTTACTATATTGGAATGAGGTGCTCTTGGAGCATTAGGAGTTTTGATTATTAGTATTGGTAGGTTTTTAATATTATTTTAAAGTGGCCTAAAATGTGTAATAAATACTAAATACATAAATACAGTCACTTATACTTATATAGCAGTTACTTATTTAACATGAGATATTGCTACAGCTATGATCTCTGTGAAGCAATTATGCTTTGTTTCATATTAAACAGCGCACAAGAGAAAGTATTCCATCCCGTCTTAAATGCTTTGGGAAGAGTTGGTCCTCATAATTATACATATGCAAGGCACTTGGTTAAAAAATTGTAGGTTGCAGTATGTTAGGGTAATCCTTTATCATTACATTAACTAAAAACCCTGTGAAAGGTGAATTTGTGTTATTCTAGTGAAAAATATTAAACGCATTTTGCATTTTATTTCTATATTTTTTTAATTTTTTACGAGGCCATTAACTGATTTTAATACAGGTAGTCCTTGCTTGGCAAATACAACTGGGACCATTAACTCTGAAGATAAGCAAAACGTCATGTAACTCTTGACGGACACATGACATCACTTTCCACGTTGAGTCACTATGGGTCATTAAGCCAGACATTATAGGACATCAACTTGCAATTGTACTGTCAGCTTTTGTTTGTTGGAAGCCAGTTATGAAATGCTTAAATGACAATTATGACTATGGGATGCTGTGACAGTAGCAAACACCCACTCGTTGTGAAGTGCCTGAATGTTGGCCATACGATTGCAAGGATGCTATGATAGTTGTAAATGTAAGAATTATTTGTAAAGTTACTTTTCCAACTGTTTGAACAGCACTTTTTCTGCAAGTGCAGTGTCCACTGTGTTCAGATCAACCAAATGTTGATCTGTTGGTTGTGACAGGAATAGACTGACCAGCATGCACACACACACATTCATGTATTATATGCATGATTTGATTAATGGGAGATTTGGATTTATATATTTAGAAGATTTATAATATTTTATGTAGATTTCTGTATGATTTTTTTTTCTAGTGGAGAATGGATATGTACCTTTTGTCGAGATCTTCTCAAACCTGAGGTAGAATATGATTGTGATAATTTGCAGCACACCAAGAAGGGGAAAACTGCACAAGGATTGAGTCCTGTGGACCAAAGGGTAGGTGTCTCATGCTTTAGGTATCTTGTTCTCAAATTTAATCCAATTATCTTGGCTTTCTTGTGGCATATGTTCCTTTATTTAGTTTACATTTTATTTTACATAGTCAGCAACTGTCATCTAACTATGTAAACCAAATCAAGAAACCAACTTTATGAGTTAAAACTACCTTTATTAATATTGTCTATAATAACATAATCTCGCAATTCTTTTGTGCTTGCTTCTCTGTCTGTCTGCCTGCTTTCCTGCTTCTCTCCCTCTCCCTTTCTGTTCCTCTCTCTTCTCTTTTCTTCCCCTCCTCTCCTCTCCTCTCCACTCCACTCCACTCCACTCCATTCCTTTCCCTTCAAATTCTCATGTAAATTAGGGAGGTTTCTGCCTAAGTCTTTTCATCTACTTTCTTCTTGTTTTAGACTTCAGTGGATATAGAAAGTCTACACACCTTTGTTAAAATGCCAGGCTTTTGAATGTAAAAAAAATCCAGACTAAGATAAAATACTTCAGAATTCTTTCCATCTTTAACATAAGATTCAAGCTGTGCAATTATATTGAGAAGCAAATGGAAATCTTTTAGCAGGGGAAAAAAAAACAATAAAAACTAATGCTTTGTTGAAGCGCCTTTTGGTTTAATGACAGCATTTAGACTTTTGGGGTAAAAGCCCAAAAGTAATCAGGCACATCTTGCTTTGGGAATCTTGCAAGTCACTCTTCCTTGCAAAAGTGCTCCAAATCTGTCAAATTTATACCTTGAAGTGATTTATCTTGGTCTGATTTTTTTCTACATTAAAAAAACCTGGCATATTAACAGAAAGGACATTTAGACTTTCTACATACACTGTAACTGTAAGACATGTTGCATTTCATGCACACCCAGCTTCGAAACATAATAAAGGTCTACTGTTCTTTTCTCAATCAGGTTTCCCTGTTTTCCTCAATTCCCTACCATGATAATGGAATATGTATTTGAGATGGGAACTCACTACATCAAGCCATTTATCCTAAAGTTTCCATTCATATCATTTTTTAAAAAAAATAGCTGGCTGTTTGCAAATTCTCAGTGTATTTGAAACTGTTTTTATTAAATTGTACCATTTAGTTTGCATTCAGCAATTCAACAAAATTTTGTACATAAACAGAGATGAATGTCATGTTATTTTTTGTTTTTCCATGAAATTTTAGTTGTTTCTCACTTGGCTACAGCATCTGGACTGTAGAATTCAGATATCCACTAAATGGAAACAGAGAGTTGAAGTTTTCTGTGTCTGTTGACTAGTGATAATATGGATTATTTATGTAATTAATTTGATTTAGGTGTTCTCTAACTCCAAACTGGGTGGCTCACAATATAACAAAGTGGATCTATTGGGATATAGCTTTACAAGTCTTCAATCAGTGGAGAACCAATAATTTCACCGCTTTGACCAATGTGTAGTGCTGTCAAGAGATCCCTTTGTTTACAGCAAGAATGAATCACAATTTTAAAATAATCTAAATCAGTGAATTTTCATTTTTCTGTGATATGTATAGTAGTATAGCATTTTTGCTTTTTTACATTTAAAAAACTATTATTAAAAAAGAACTATAATTCTATCTTCCTAGAGATTTGAGGCCATTTCTTAATTCCATTTATGCAGAATATCTTCTGAATCTTGTCTTTGGCATTTAATTACTCTTACTCAGGGGTGTCAAACTCACGTTGTCACATCAGCGTCACATGACGTATCAGGACTTTTTCCCCTTCACTAAATCGGGTGTGGATGTGGCCAGCTTGTGATGCATCTGGCCCATGGGCCATGAGTTTGACAGCCCTGCTCTTAGTCATTGAATTTTCTCCTTCCTTTACTTATTCTTGTGGAAATTTTTACCTATGCTTATAGTTTTTTCCCCCAACTCTTTCTGTATGTTCTGTATGTTCCATTGAATTATCCTATATCATAACTAAGCCAAATTTGGTCATTTAATGTCCTAGTGCTTTTACTTTTCTGTTACAGTATAATAAGCATATAATATGATATGATAACCCTTAGAAGGAATCCCACAGACTGCAATAAGCATATGATTTGATTTGCTTAGAAGTAATGGCATAGAGCGTGATCAAGAAAGTTATCGGACATGTCTTTTAAATCAGTTATTATTTTCCACTCCCCACCCCCACAAACCTGAACATATTGCTTTATTGTTGTTGTAATATTTTGGGCTAATAACTGGCATGGACTATATGCGATTCTGAGCTGTGCTTAGAGGGTTTTAACTGTGATAATAACCATGGCCAATTGTAGGAAATAAATTATTCCATTATTTCAATACTTAATCGAAACTGCTGTTTCTAAGCGTAATTAATTGGGCTGGTTATAAAGTAGCAAGATATGTGTGGTGTAGGATGAATTGTCTCCTAGGAACCATAAAACTATAAGTATCTCTGGTAATTGGAAGGCAATGTTCCCAATATGAAGTTTTGGGGAGATATTTGACTTTGAAGTATATTTGGCAGAAATTGGAGGTACTGCCTTTTGAATGACTCTAAGGAGGCTATAGGATTCTTTGCAAGGAAAGCTGATATGCTTTATCTGCCTTCCACTGGGAGCAAAGACTATTTTGTCAGATTACGCTCATAAGATTACTTTTAATTTGGAGTTTCCTTATCATTTTGGTTGATATTTTAGTTTATATTATATTTGTTTTATTGCTATTGAACAGCAGTTAATGGAAAAATAGGTTATTATTGATGCATGGAATATGTTGTGCTCAGTATTGTGATAATATGCACAGTGTTTTTTAAAACATGAATTAGGTTTGTCAATGACTCTCACCTTGAAATGATGCCTTGACATTTAGAAGTAACACATAATATTTACAGACATGCCAGATCATAAATAGCTTTTGAAATACTTTACAATTCTGAAAGTTACTTCCTTGTGACTTTGTTTAGATTCAAAGCTTTGAAGGCAAAAGGAATTAGTTGCATGGATATGAAAATATATAGAACTAATCTCTGTTGATTCCAGGTAATCTAGATACTGGTAGTTTGTTTGCAAACTGAATTAGGTTTTGAGAACTTTATTCTTCTGAAAATTGAAGGATAAGCACATAAGTAATTAACAAAAATTCAGTCTTTTAAGAATGAAATAATTTTAATTGAGTTTGTTTTTCCTCTACAAGAAATGTGAGCGCCTCCTACTTTATCTATATTGCCATGAGCTGAGTATTGAATTCCAAGAGCCAGTTCCAGCCTCGGTGAGTGATGTCATATACATTACCTAGAGATGATAGAATGTAAATATTTATTTTTAAGAGTCTAAAATTGGTGATCAACATTTGACAGTCATAGTTGCTATTATGCTATGAATGGTATTTTGCACTATGTACTTTTAAAAAAGTATCTATTTACAAAATTATTGGATCAGCAATGTTGATGGAGCTATGAAGGAGAATTTCCACATTTAAAAATAATATAACAATTTTGCATTTTTTAGTATGTGTTTTCAAAATGTTTGGGTCTGATTTTAAAAATGAAAATGCTTCACACAGAAAAATATTCTACTGTAAAAGTATGTTCTCTCTTCTAATGTGACTGCATTTTTTTCTGAACAGATACCAAACTACTATAAAATAATAAAGAAACCAATGGATCTATCTACAGTAAAGAAAAAACTGCAGAAGAAACATTCACAACATTATCAGACACCTGAAGATTTTGTGGCAGATGTTCGGCTGATCTTCAAGAACTGTGAAAGGTTTAATGAAGTATGTTAACTTCCAACATGTAGAATTGTTTTGACGGATTAAAAAAATATCTTCTGTGTCTTTATACAGACTTTAATTACAAGTGTTTCCAAATTCTGCTTGTGGGATGGAAATAGTGTCCCATATGTACCTGTACAAAGATATGGCTGGGCACAGATTGAGCCTCAGACTTAGTCACTTATTATATACAGATATGATAATGTAAATTGAATCCTGAGGACATTCTTGGTCTTCTGGTTTCTTTACTGATTTTAATAGTGAATCAGTTAAATGCTGGGTTTCATGCACAAGCTGTTTCATGCCTCCTTTTTGTGGAGACATTGTCTTTTCAATAGCACATTGTTACCTAGCCCAAGCAGCAAAAAAGCAGAAATCCTCTTTGTGTGAATGGTTTAGTAGATATGTAAAAGCACTGAAAGCAATAGAAAACAAGATACGTCATTAATAAATAATTTTACAATTAAATACATGATCTACTCATAGATTATCTTTAAATTTAGAGCATTTTGTGAATGATAAATAGTTTTGAAAAGTAATTTTAAATCAAGATTACATGAAGATTTTCATGTAATAAAATAAACAGTAAAGCAGGATTGCAACAAAGGCAGAGAGGCATGAGCCATCAGTTGCTAAAGGACTTATAATAGAACAGGTTTTGTGATGGAAATAGCTGTAGAATACATGGCCTGATGAAAACTGAATAGCTGTTGTTTAAAAATGGACACTGAAGCAAGTCGACCCTCTGGCTGCTTAAATAGCATCTTTTAAAAGTTTGGAAACCATTCTGCAAGGCAGTCTGTTAGTTAGATTCCTTATTAATTGAAAATTATCTTGCTAGTTTAGGCAATTCAGATAACAAAGCCTTCTTAAAATAAAACAAATAATTAATGGTAATTTCAACTATATAGAAAAATGCTGAAATAATATGGTGTTTTTGAAACATCAAAAATATGGCATGTGAACCTAATACACAATGTTTATGGGAAAAGAAATAATCAGTAGGCACCTAAGATATTTTTTGACTCCAGGAAAATTGGCCACATTTAATCATATTTAAATTAGAGCTGTTAACATCTATAGAAAGCATTTGGATCCAGTCTTTATTATCTATGTTATCTAAAACCATTATTATATCTCCCATTAATTAGGAGGTTTTATTTAAGTATGCTCAGAGACTCTTGAAAAAGAATACTGAATTTTCTATAGGACAGAATGTGAAAACCTCAGTTTCATTTAAAGTGGGCTATAATCTTTGTCCTAGTTTAATATTAATACCTGCATATAAAATTCCAATACTTATAGTAAATCTCAGAAATGTAAGTTTTTAAAGTATTGAATTACGCTAAGCAGTTGTAACTTTAATTTAAACTTGGATTGTAATAGGTGAGGCTGAAGTATTTTTCAAAATAAAATTAATTTTAAGAAAAATGAACGCACTCACAGTGAAAGGAAATTTTCATGGACAGATAAATGCGGTTAGAACAGACTAAAAAAGAAACTTGCCCTTTTTTCTTACTGCAGTTATCACATTTAGATCATAACAAGAAGAACTGAACTGGAAGATAGTGGGATAGCACGTTCTTGATAAGAAATGACAAAGGAATCCTGATGGAAGAAATTACTGCCGAGCATTTATAACACAATTATTCTATTTACTGTACAGCTCAATTTTGGATTTCTGTGCTTAGTATCAGTTTGGCAAAACTGATCATTTGTTAACAGATCACATATCCAAATTTAGCAATGGGACCTTATGAAGTGTCACTTCTGTGTCACGGTTTTTAGAAATAAATTGCCATCATGGCTGAGTTTCATCATCCATTCCTGTACAGTCTCATAACTTTAGAAGGGATTATAATTTCCTTTGTTTTGACTCTGGTATCCTTTTTAGATGATGAAAGTTGTTCAAGTTTATGCAGAAACACAAGAGATTAATTTGAAGGTAAGCTTTTCAGACCATGCACACTTGCTGAAGAGATGTTTATTACCAATTGGTGAATGTTACTATCTTTTTTACTTTGCAGGTTGATTCAGAAGTAGCACAGGCAGGGAAAGCAGTTGCATTATACTTTGAAGATAAACTTACAGAGATATACCCAGGCAGGATCTTCCAGCCTTTACCTGAATTCGAGCAAGAAGAAGATGATGCTGAAATAACTGATGATTCAGATGAAGATTTTATACAACCACGTAGAAAACGTCTAAAATCAGATGAAAGACCGGTGCATATAAAGTAAACTGATTAAATGGACCCAAACTATTGTAAAGAAAAACATATTTAAATGTTCCTGGGATATTATCGTGGCTTTAGTGGCCATTTTATTGATAGTGTTCAGACAGTATTAGATTACAAAAAACATTTGTACAGAAACATTCTTGTCTAAGGGGGGAAAGCTTTCAACCTCTGTTATTGCTCTTGTGTTTTGTGGATTTTTTTTGTGCTGGATTTTTATTTTACTTTTTCACTCCTTCATTTACAGTCGTTTGAGATTATTAACATTCATTCAGGAACAAGTTTTTATATGATGACATTTGTATGAACAATGCATTTTTGTCACTACCTAATAATAACTATTTCTGTAGGATTGGACCAAGACAGATCATATTTCACATTCATATTGGGTTGTGGTTTAAATTCTAAGCAACCTTTCTCTTCATGTAACCAGATCTGCTGGTTGTGTGATTTTCTTTTTGATATTCAACATCTTATCCAAGTGATATTGCAAGTATCATACTTCATTGGGTCAAATAGCCAGGCTCTGCAGTCTTTTATTATGTATAGAAGTATCATAACATCATTAAATCATCTTGAATTTGAGAATGCAGGAGTGCGAGTTCTTCATATGTGCTTTATTGACTTTGGTTGCAATTCATGTTTTTAAGTAGGATTCATAATATTAAATGGAAGTCCCATGCACAATACACCTCAGCAACATTTTTTGGGGGTATTTTGTCTATTTCTCTTCCCTTTTAAGGCAGGATGTTGGCTACAAAACCAACTAAAATATAGATTTTAGTACTTTCAGAACTAGCCTATGATGTTAATAACTGGTGACTGTCCAGTCTTCCCTACTAACAGTTTCTGATAGACTACTATCAGCAAACTAGTACCTTTGTCAACTACCAAATGTGTAAACTTTCCTGTATTCACTCTGTCTTATTTGTAAATAATGGTACTGTAAATTCTTTCAGGCAGCAACATTTGCTGGACTGTTTTTAAGCTAATATGTATTCTTACTAATGTTCCTAATCAAGAACAGATTTTAATATGCTCTTTGTTTCTTAAGCAGTTCATAATTTGAAGTTCTGTATTATTTTGTTAGATCTATTCAGTTTTCTTCAGAAGCAGCTTAAATTGAAGAAAATAATGTGCCCTTTCAGGCTAAGTTACTTGTCTATTCTTAAATCTAGAAAATGGACCAGCATATCAGACAAGTAACTAGTTGAATAATAATATGCAGTTATCCGTGCATAACAAAGCTCTTCGAAGACAAGAAAAATCTGCATTATTGTAATTCAATGTCAAACAGGTAAAAATCCTTATATGCTTGGTGTAGGTCTGTATTAAACTATTTCAAACCCTTATATAGAATATTTTTATGCCTGTTTCAAAAAGGCAAACTATAATGAGGTAACCAAAACATAAGCTTTACTGTGACATTAAGTGTATTGATTATGGCCAATAGTTCACAGTATATGAAGAATTGATCTATACAGTAGAGTTGAATAGTTTCTATTTTCCAGTGTATTCCCAGTGATTCCAATGCCTGACTTCAATTTTCCCTGAAAGAGGCAGAAAGGATGGTTCTCTAACATGAAAGTAATTAAAGATATTTATGACTTTAATTCACTTTCTTAGATAAACAGTATATTAAAAATGAAAGGAGTCTAGGAATTTATTTTCACAAAAGGTTTTATTTAAAAAATCAATTCTAAATTGTATGTTTTATGAATATATATTAGTCTACATTATGACCAAATTAAATTTAGAGAAGTCAGTTCAGAGAGATTGAAAGCAAATTTCATGATCATAGCTGTTGTTTCCACATATAAGGGTGAATGGGAGGATGTTCCCTCTCAGTGTGTTTACTCTCCGACAAGTTCTGAAAAAATGTCCACCTACGCAGTTATTGCAAGCATCAAATGCAAGAACAAAATGCTAAATCACCGTTGGATGAAATAGTACTTCTTATGTATACTGAAGTTCTTCATATCTCAATTTAAAATGAATGAAACTATTTCTTAATTAAATTGAATATATGCAGATTCTGCAAAAGGGAACTGGTATTGAGCTAATTTAGTTTCTTTCCCATTCTGAAACTGCAATGGAAAAGTAATAGATTTAAGTATATTAAATTATATGAAAACCTTTTTTACTTTTTTGCAAAAACAATTTGAGACATTAAATTGATTATCTGCTACCTGAAACATAGTAGATAATAACATTCTGCATAGACTCTATAAGTCTATATAAATTGCTAGAATCATTTCTTGAAGAATATATTCATAGCTGGAAATGATGTGCAGTCTTGATGAGCTTTTCCCAGTGATGGTAAGAAGTATATCACAATAGAACTTCTGTCACTTTTACAGCTGAAAAGAAGCCTATGATTGGCACATCACAGGCATCTGTGCAATTATTGAGCTACATTGGGTTTGAAAACATAGTTTATTTTGGAGTATGTTCCTCATATATCTACTTTCTAGTGAATAATGGGGCTTTCCTTGCATGTGAACTGGATTTACCTGGGCTTCATAAATTACAATGTAACTTATATCTGATATGGTCCCAAAGGATTTTGTCGTATAATTTGACTTTTTAAACTATGACTTCAAATATTCTTGCTAAAAAACAAAACAAAAAACTCTTTCCCTGGTTGTATAGGTTCCAAACATTTAAGTTAATCCAAAGAAGAAAAAGGCAGCTTACTTTGAAACAGGAAGGATAACAAATGTACAGCGTGCTGATTGTGGACTTCTCAATTACCTCAGCAGGTCCCCTGCCTTGTACTTACTAGTGATTAGTGTTAGTTTAACCAGCTAAGTATGTTCAGGTCTTACTTAACTGTGGCCGGCAATTAAGTGTCCTATCATATATTATTAAGGCTGATTTACTATCCAAAAAGGGTGGCTTTGCCCCTAGCTTTTAAAGTAGATACTGTATGCTGTAAAATGTAGATAGCCTTTTTCATGAGAAAAATTCCCATTAATAATATTTGAGGTGGCATTGACTGTCAGCGTACTCAACACTGGATAGAAGAGCAGAATGTTTTATAAACATTTCTGCAAGCCACTGCATCAAAGTAGTATTTTTTAATGAATCATCCCAATTTGCCATTCTGTTGTATAATGTAGTTTTATTAGCCAGTCCCATTTACGTGAAAGTTATGGCAACACTATCTTGAAGTTGAAAATGTTACGTGCTGGATGTAGGCTTTCTCTCTTTCCACTTCTCCTTAGCAAAAAAGCAATAAAACTGCTTTGTCTGTTGCCTGTTTAGCATGGCAGGAGTCCATTTCCTTTGGGAGTGGTTTTATAGGAAAGTTTTTGTATGTGTATCACCCAAGTCTAGCTTTTAACAAATAAAGTGTGCAGTTATAGTGTGGCATTTTATTTTAAAAATTGGGGAAAGTTAACATATTTTTTTAAGAAGTAGGTGTTTCAGTAAATAATGGAGGTACTTTTTTAAAAACTTTATATGCCACAATTTACATAGACCTATTTCAAAGTAATTCATAAGATTGTGATTTTGGATATGGCCACCACCTCTTTGCTTCAGTGATGCATGTGCAGTAACTCCACTCATTTGTTGTTTTTTGTGTCCGCCTATCTGCTAATCTACTTTTAAAATGCATCCTAATCAAAATTGTTTTGAAAAATTGAAGTTATTTTGATTTCTTAATTTAGTAGCTGATTTGACAATGATAACACACAACTTTCTCTTTTCTATTCAATTCTTTTCAAGTAGGGAGCTGCTCTTTTCTTTTAAAATGATCTGTGACTTTGTATAAACAAATTCAAAGAATTTTATAGATCTCTCACACGTTTCAGCATTCCCGTAGTGTGAACATAAATTTTGAAATGGAAAATGATGCATGTTAAAGGCCTGCCAATGTAGGCGTTTGTTAATTCAAAATGCCATTAAACATGTATATATGAGGTCGATAAAGATTTGTGCAATTGAAAGCCTGTTTTAATTTTATATGTAAACATACAAATCAAAGGGTTCAATTCCCAGTATTCCTTCTTTCTGGTAATTAAAACTGGTACTTTTTGCACATAGTTAACTTTACTGATTCTTTTTAAAAAGTGCTGTTTCTGTGGTATTGTATTCTCTGAATAATATTTAATTTTTTTAACAAGTTAACGTTTCTAATTGTTCAGTTCCTGTGTTTTTTGGCTGATGTGTAATAAAAGCATTTTTCTTTACATGATTATTTAATACATTTAGCAACCTGTAAATATTTCTTGTTAAGTGCTCTGGAATGTGGTGTAGCAATTGTATTAGAACAGTTTTAAAAAGCATTGTTTTGAAAACCACTTTGTTTTGGTTATTTCTATTAAATTAGAAAAGGAAGAGCTTTTCAAATGAGTATTATTTTGTAAATTCAAGGACTCCATAGACCTACTGATACTGTTTTATTTGATAAATTATTAGCATGGGAAAATTATGAAAATTTGGCTAATATTTACACAGTGTCTTAAGAATAAGGGTTATCATTTAGCATATTACATACACAAGCCTTTTACAATATCTCTATATGTTGGTTATAATTCATCTAAACATCAATTTAAACATGCATACAGAAATAAATCCTCAATGTACATACTATGATGTTTTATTCTGAAAAGGAATGAGATTGAAGAGAGAACGTTTTCTCAGTTATAAAGACACATTTTCCAACTTTCTATTCAGGGTGCCCTTTCACTTTAAATATTGTATTCTACAATATTAACTGTCCTGTGTTTTATTCACCAGTTTTGTACCTGAGTGTAAATAGATGAACTGATGTCGAAAGTTATTTGTGGATTTCATTTAATTATGATTGATATAGAGATTATGGATGATAAAAATGGAAACATTTACAGAAAATAAGAATGTTGCCACACTGCTTAATGAAATTGAAGATCTTGACTTGCAAATTAGCTTTGTTCCTTGCTATGTTACCTTGTGATTGTTTCCATAGCAGACTTTTGCCTGTGTGTGTTTGGAAGGTCTGTTTTCACAAATGAATATATGCTTAGCCACTGTGAAGTGCAAACAATATTGTTTTTGCATAGTTAACTCTTATCTGGAATCCATAAATCCAAGATCCAAACCACTATCAAACTGACTACTATGGTGAATTTGTTTTCTGGGACAAATAGGTAGTGTTAAGAGTTGCTCAGATGGGAAGTGCAATCCATTTATTCCTTACTAGCCCATCTGCCTTCTGCTCTGCCCTGATATTTGGTTTAGCTAAATTGGATTTAGCGATTTCATCCTCTTGTATTGTCTCAGTTACCGTATTTTTCGGAGTATAAGACGCACCGGAGTATAAGACACACCAAGATTTTGAAGAGGCAAATTAAAAAAAAAGTTTTTGCACTCTGTAGACCTTCCAAAAACGGCTCATTTTTCACAAAAATGGGCCCAAATTTTGTAAAAAAAAAAAAAAAAGCATTAAAAATTTTGTAAAAAAAAAAAAGGGGGGGGGCATGTAAAGCCTTTAGGAGGCTTATAGTGCTCCTGGGGGCTGGGGGGGAGAATGGCCTGTTTTTGCTCATTTTTGCCCCCAGGAGCACTCTATAAGCCACCTAAAGGCTATGCGCGGCCATTTTGGTGAAGGGGGCGAGGTTTCAGGAGGCAACAAATGCTGTATTCAGCGTATAAGACGCATCCAGATTTTCAGCCTCTTTTTTGAGGGGGAAAAGGTGCATCTTATAGTCCAAAAAATACGGTAACCTCTTGAAAAGAAATGCACCTCTTGTAATTTTTTATGGAGAAATTAGAATGTTAATCTTTGGAAAGTATAATCTTTTTTTCTTTATATACTTCCCACCTAGTCTCTTTTTACTGCTAGTGAGTTGGCTGTATTTTTGTATTCCACAAGTGGACAAACTACATACCAGCAAACAAACTTTTTGGTTGTTGGCTTACCATATTGCGAGCCCTCCAAGTACAGGATAGGATAGAAATAATATAAGATTCTTTATTGGGATGATACTTCAGTTTTGGCATCTGTTGTGGTGAAAGAATATAGTTATGTTCATGAAAAAAAGAACTTTCCAAGAAAGGTTATTTCCATTTAAACTATGATTGGGAAATAAAGTTGGAATTACTGTCATATACTAAAAGCAAAGAAGATGGCTGGAGACCATTCTCCCTATCGTTATCTTTATTAAAACATCAATAATTGCATATCTGAAGAGACTAGAAGGTTTTACTGGAATGTATGGATATCTTTATAAGGATGCCTTTTTCAAACAAAATACTTTTGTACTAACTGCATTTAAAGTCTGTAAACTCCATAACAAACATATAATGGAATAAGCACATTGCCAAACATTAGAGAGAAAGTAGCTAGTGAGATTAAAAAAATTACTAGAGCCAAGTCTCTTAAATATTCTGCCAACAGTAAGGGTGCTATGACATAATAGGCCCTTTTCCCAGATTTCTTTGGCTAATCTCAGAAGATAGCAAAGCATCAGAGATGATGTTCAAGTTCATATTGAAGCATTAAAAATCCCAATTTGACATTATATATAGGATGAAAAGTGTAACACATTTAATAATGCCTTAAGGCACATTGGAATACTTTCTGAAACGAATGTACAGCCTGTAAAGTTGTTTAAACATTAGGAGGGAGGTGGGAAATTACATTGCATAATCAGTTCCATAACTATTCTGCACTGAAGACCACGGAAAGGATCTTTGGACAATAATGGCTCCCTTGGCTAAGTAAGTTATACTATATTACAACAGAGTGGTGCAATGGCTCAGTGGTTAAGATGCTGGAATTATTGGCTGGAAAGCTGGCAGCTTGGGTTCGAAACCCAAGGTTGAACTCCCGTCCTTGCCCTAGCTCCTGCCAATCTAGCAGTTTGAAAGCATGCAAATGCGAGTGGATAAATAGTTACCACTATGGTAGGAAAGTAACAGTGCTCTGTGACATCATGCTGGCCACAAGACCACGAACATGTCCTCAAAGGCTGGGTAAATGGCCTTTGAAAAGATGAGCACCACCCCTTATAATTGGCAACTACTAGCATAGTAAAACCACAGGGACTCCTTTAGTTTACAACAATGGTACTGCTATTTGGATCACTTAGGAAGAGTGGTATGTAAGAATGCTTTATATTTTGTTAGATCTTTCAAAACAAGATCTTTCTGAAAATGAGCAATAGTTTGCTATTATGAATACTATAGTATTTAAGCTTTGGCTGTATGCAGGGCTCCCGTTTAGGTGATTCCTAATAACAAGTTGCCTAACAATGTGCAATATAGTTGTATGATGACAAGTTGTTATGTTGCTCTAAAGCAAAGTGAATGGAGAAATATGAAGCAATATGAAAATGATTGTGGGATATTAATTTTTGACTATTTGTCTTCTTCCTCCAATAGCTTTTTCTGAACAATTCATAATTACCTATTTATTAAGTTTTGTCCTAACAATAATTTAAGAAAATGAAGATGAAGAATAAATGCCATAAATTGTTACCATTTTCCCTCAACTACTGAGCAACACCTTAACTTAAAAATATTAAAAATGTAATGTATAATTAAATCCAGACTAATTATATGGCATCTATTGTGGGAAATTACCGTAAGTGAGAACACACTGAATATTAATATCATTCAACTGTTAATATGTGTACTTCACAACTGTTAATATGGGGTAAATTATATGTTGGTGAATATAAACAAACTACAGACAAATTAAGAAAGATAAGAATGTATTAATGTATATGATACATGCATTTGTATCATCTATATGAGTGAAGGACCTGTGGCCTTTATTGAGTTGCATCTCGAAGTAATCCCAACGAGAAGGATAGCCAATGGTGAGGGATCATTATACTTCCATATACTTTCTTGGATCAGGCTGGAACACAGATTTCAGCCTGATCCAAGAAAGCAAATAGCTTTACAATATTTTCAGTGAGTAAAGATAAATAAGGTCGTGGAATGGGATCTCTCTTTTGTATCCCTCTAGAAAAAAATATCTATTGCAACTGTCTCATCTTTAGTAGGCTTACCAAGACATATACATTGATCTACTCATTCTACATACATAAGGCATATATGTGCCTTTTATAATGTAGCATGTAACACAGAAATGGACCTGGCAAAAATACAGTAGATAGGCCCATTATATCTTGTAATGAAATCAAGGCTGAACTCAAGAATATGCACAGAGTACAATAATAATATAAACTCCGCACTAACCAATCAAAAAGCATGGGAGGCATTTTTAAACTACAAACAGACACATACATACAATACAATGTTAGGAACATAAGCAACACCAAGCTTCCCAACCAAACCAAGAAGTTGTTTTGTAAATGGTGACAGACCAAGAACATACATAGAATGCAATAATAAGTCCCCCCTCCCCCCCCAAAAGAAAGGTAACTAGTGAGAAGTCATATTATCTGGATCAATAGATAAAAGAAACTATATCCTTCCAGGTGTCCCTGGATTTGGACACCTGGAAGTATATATGCCTTTCATCTCCCCTGTCTCAGTGACTGGGTCCCTGCAACAACTTATGCAGGTGGAAGCCTTGTGAAGGAAGTTATAAAGGGTCACATGAGGAAGATGCTGATTTTTGACCCTCATAGAGGTCATCATGACATTTTTCTCTTGGCATACGCTAGTTTTGAAATTTCTTAAATTGGCCCATGGCCCCAACAACAACAACAACAAACACTAATATTTTATAAACTTGGCTTTATTCTGAACTGTTTTAAAGAAAATATTTTGATTGTTCCATTTTCATGTTTAATGTTTCCTCCTCAACCTATAGCAAAATATGTAAGTTGTCAAACCACTTGAACTTTTGAATCCCTTTTCAAAGTTTGCAATTGTGGCTATCTCAGATCCAAGTTTTTGCTATTTTATCTTTAGCTCTTGTCTTTGTGGTATACGATACAAACTCAAGAAATTGATGTGACGTGTCATGGATTCTTTTGTACCTGAAGCAAGATGCTGACCTTTTCTTCTCCCTTTCTCTTTATTTTTGTTTGGCAGACCTAAGGCTAAAAAAAATTGAACTGTTTTCTGAGAAACAGTTTCTTGTTTGTAGTGTTCTTATTTTACTTCTTTATTCTATAGTGAATCATGCTGTTTATCCTGTGTTAGTCTGGTTTATAACATACTAGTTGATAACCCGGCGTTGCTGGGTATTTATTTATAGGTGGGAAATATCCGGACTAAACGTAATTTCTAATGTTGGATTTTCCCCCTTACCAGAGGGAGCTTCCTTGTTACTGTGAAGTCTTTAACATGGCAACTCTATTGCGCTATACCAGCGATGGCGAACCTTTTTTGGCTCACGTGCCATAAGTGAGGGGAGCCCAGGGGAGTCGTGCATG